GGGAAAGAGGATGGTTCATAGTGTGTGCTTACTCCTACAGCTTTGCCTTATTCGTTTAATGTGTGTGTGTGTGCTCCATAACTGTGTAAATAGTTAAATAAATTATTTTATTTGGGCTAATAATCTGTGTTGTCAGAATTGGGTCCATATCCAAGGGGGAGGAATGCAAGCACTCAGCATGTATCTCAAGGCACAAAGAGAAAACATTTAATAAAAGAATCTAAAAACAACATCAGGCTTCATAGAATGTTTGCAAAGCAGAAACCATTCTGAAACACAAAACAATAATAAAATCTTAAAAAGGAAGCCACTAACAAGTAGTAATTAAAATACTGCCTTATGGACATAATAAAAACAGTCGTTTCATGGACCGTGTGCAGTTGCTTGAAAATAACTTATTCCAGGCTGAGGGAGTCTGCATTAGTAGCATTCATCTCCTCCCAGCCTGGCCTCAACTCAGTGTTGCTCCTTGCATCAAGATAATGTCCTGCACCAGCCTCCTCCAGTCTGCCAGCTGCACACAGTTAACAGTCAGCCAATTCCTCTCCAAACTGGCCCGGTCTCAATCTGTGAGAATTTACAGCTAATGGTTGATGAGGGCTGTAAGATCTATAGGTTATCAGCAGCTAATCCTTACAGTTGTGCTCTGACCACATAGTCTCCCCTGCTCTGCACAATAACAAAGGGAGGAGGTGGCCCAAGGAGGCAAGGAAAGGACAGACCCTTGGGTTGCCAACTTTCCAAGGATCCCCCAAAGACTGGGGGTTCCATCTCCAAATAGGGAGATTCGCCCAGAGGGTCTCAGTGTCCCTCTAAAAAGGCAGTGACAATTCAGTGAGTGGTGGCAGCGTACTTGGGTGAGATACGCCCACGGGACAAGGGTGGGAGGCGAACAGCTGAGTTGTAAACTGGAGCCTGTTTCACCACAGTGGGCAACCAAGCTTGGTTCAGACAAAGGAAGGAAACCCTTTGCAGGCCTTTGTGAGGAACTTATTGGGGCCAGTCTTGACTAGGCTTGCCAGCTCCAGGTAGGGAGATTCCTGGAGATTTTCTGATAGAATCTATGGAAGCCAGGGTTTGGGGTCTCAGCTGAACAGAATGCCATAAAGCCCACCTTCCAAAGCAGTTATTTTCTCAGAGGGGGGGGGAGAGATATGTTGTCTGGAGTTCAGTTGTGATACCTGGTGATCTTCAGGCTCCACCTGGAGGTTGGCTACCCTAGGCATAGCAGTCAGTGCTTCGGAGCAGGGTCTCTGAGGTCCAGGTTCTTGCTGTAGAAGCTGAGTGGGTGATTTTGGACCAGTCACAGACTTTCAGCCTAACCTACCTCCCAGGGTTGTTGTGCAAGCCAAAGGGGGAGAGGAGAATGATGTAACCTGTTTTGGTCCCCATTGCAAAGAAGACTACTTTTCCTCCTGGGAAGCCTCTGTTGCCAATCTCCAGGTGAGGGCTGGAGATCACTCAGAATTACAACTGCTCTCCAGATGGCGGAGATCAGTTCCCATGGAGAAAATGGTGAACTCTGTGTCCTTTTACACTGCTGAGATGCAGTGTAATGTGATGGCAGCCAATGTGACGTGGCAGTCAGGGCTTCAGAGCACA